GCAATGAGCTAACTAAGTAGGAAAATTCAGGTCCCAAGTGAGGTGGGCCGCAAGCGGTCTGTAAATGGAGTCCTCCTCAAGAACAATATATTTAAACACACATTAGTCTCCCAGTGCTACCTCTTGTCTTTTTGAAGAAGTTTGCATTCATTTGTGCACAATCCTTAGGTCTAAGTTTCAGTCCTGTGAAGCGTCTGATTTTGACACAAATTATGAGCTTGTCATATCATGAGCAACTTGTTTTGCGTAAATTGCGATTTTGCGTCCTTTTATGGACAGAAGCCCGCGGGTGACGCTAGGCAAAAAGGGGACGAATGATCGGTGTAAATATTCTCTTGCGTCCTAGGCAGCTTTGAGTCTGGAAAGAAGAGTGGGAGGCATTGAATCTCCCCTAAATCTTACTTCTGGCATAAATTTAGATGATGCTCTTGTCCACGGAAAGTGGGAAGGTATTGGACCAAAACCGAATTAAGTTGCCGGTAAATGGTTTAGGACAACTGGCAAAAACGGACAGGGACCGCAGATTTGTAAATTCTGGGTCAGCTGTAGTCTCCAACATTTTGCAGGTTCCGATTTTTAGTCTTTCGATGTGTGTCTAAAATGTCGCAAAATCTCTCCGGTCATATAATGGGCATTTTTGATAGTTCCTCCAACCTAAATTTGTCATGGAAGTGAGCAGTTTGATAACTGTGGAGGTTTTTAGTTTTGGTAATTGGGGCATTAAATCTCCTATATCCATATCCGGACAGGGTCAGGACCGTGCGGGTAGTTGTTATAATCCAGGAATGTGTTTGAACAGGTCCAATAGTGGATGTCGCTTCAAGATAGATAAACATTTGGGTGTCAAATCACGAAAATAAATAATGGACGAAAGTAGATATCTGCTTAGGTTAAGCTTAGGCATACGTTGATAAGAGGGAGATGGTTGTGATTTTTTTTTTGGGGGGGTAGTATTCTTAGGTAAGTATAATATCGTAAGTATTTCTTGGCTGCGTATGGGAGCCAGGAGCCAGCGAGGGTGGTCGTATCTAGTTGGGTTCTAATTCTTTAGGTTCGTTGGAGCGGTTCAAGTCTGATTAGTTAAGGGGCATAGTTGACAAATAGGGATATTGTCCATTTGTGGTTAGTTCTGGAATGCCAGAAAAGGTAAGTTTGATTCATTTTACAAGGAAGAAGGCAATAGGATAGCTAGTAATTGTAGACAGCAAATTCTCAGTTAATTGAGTGTCAATCGCTGTAGTGTAGTGAGATTATTGGGAGCACTGTTGCAGAATAAAAATAAGTAGGTCTTTAGTACTTGGAATGAAACTATGAACTGCTAATATTCAGGTACCGGTAACCAAAACCCGAGCGGATATTAAAATTTGGGTAGCTTGGTAAGTGCTGCTTGAATAGAGTCAATCGTGGCCCTCCGTCCGCGGTTATTGGTCCTGGCCATTTATCTGAATGTTTTTGTAAGGCTAAAGTTGGAATATTAATGAATTTATTTGATTGCTCGTCAGACTGGTGGAGCTCGTGGACACATGAAAAAAAAAGAAATAAATCGGATCCGGCACGGGGGCCCAAACTCCACCCCCCACAAACAAGCTTATTTTTATGGGTGAATGAGAAAAACCGGTTGATTATTCAGGTTGCTTGTTTTGTGGGGGAAAATGCAGGTGTTTGGTTTAGGGTTATGGGTAAGGTGGAACGGAGATAGAAAGAGAAGGAGAAGTGACTAACGGAGGTGGGGATGGGGAAGGAGAAATGGGAAAGATAGAGGGAGGGGGGATCGGATGGACACCACCACGCTAGCCGTCCGAGAATTAGGGACTGGAAAAAAAGTAGGAAGAGAAAAGAAAATGGGGAGTATGGAGGTGGAAAGGTAGCCGTGAGTGCTTTCAAGACGAACACAGACATTTAAGGCTGAGTATGTGGGTCGAGCAGTAATGAAAATTGGTGATATTAGTAATTTGTCTAATTATTACTGTTGGCTAATAATTCGAAGGCTTCCCAGCCTATAAGGAGTTTCTCCGAGAGATTTATCAAAGCCAAAACCCTCATGGAGAAACTCCTTATTTAAAGGGTAAATCTCTCAATCCAGTTGAAGAGATCAGAGGTGGAGCTTTGGGTATTTTCAGAAGAGGCTTCCTGACTGGTGGGATTTTGATCGGCTAGATTTGCATGTGGCGGATCTGGGACCCGGCTTGGTAAAGGAGGGAAATTTTTTATGTTATTGTCGGGGGCGAAGATTGGTTTTCTTTGTGTAGTTTTTTCATTTCGATTGATTTTTTGATGTTATCGGGATGTTTCTCACACCCATGATAAGACGATACGTGCGGCCCACCGCACAAGCAACACTTCCCAGCTGTATTTTTATCCTTCTTGTATGTGTAAGTGAAATGTTTTTCACCGCATTTTAAGCATCTTGGAGAATGTTTACAATGGGCCTTGCTGTGCCCATATCTTTGACATTTATGACACTGTTTGTGTCCTTGTGTAGTTTTGAAGGGGAGAATTTGAACTCCCCTTCAAAAAAATTTATGAATATGTTTGATGTCATAAACCTTTTTGCTTTGTAGACTTCTCTCGACTTAAACTACGAAGACGGGTAATTTAATTATTTCGGTGTCAGTTTTCTTAGTAATTTGTCTGACGGTTGACACCGGAATTTTCAAATCTTTGAGTTCCTGAAGAATATCTTCGGTTTTGGCGTGGGCTGGGAGTTTCTTGATTACTGTTCTGATTGGCTTTTCGTGTGGGAGAGGAAATGCATGGTATGGTATGGATTTTGCATCTAAATAACGGGTAAGAACTCTGTATTCATCTGAGTCTTTGATTTTTATATGGATGTCTCCTCCTTTAAAATTGCTCTCAAGTTTCTCTACGAGTTTCTTCAGCTCGTCACGCAGGGGTTTCCATTCTACAAATATCTGAGATTATTATGTGGAGTATTCTTTTCTTGGTTTTGAACGGTTTAATGAATCCGTCATCTTGGGTGTTTTGGGAATTAATAACTTGTGTATTCTCCGTTAAAGTATCCATGTCATCTTCGGTTCGAAGGGAGCTGTATTTATTCTTAACAGATGTCATAGAAAAGTTACTAGCATCGCTAAGTGTTCTTTTGTGGATTTTTCTTGGAACTGTCCAATTTCCCGCTTTTTCATTTTGGGTGTTTATGTTTTTAACCTTGTGATGGGGTGGTAGGTGTAACATTCTCTGAGATTTTAATGTTAGCATATTGCGTCTGGACTTCGCCAAATTTCCCTTCTAAGAGAACTCTCTTTGCAGTGAGGCTTGCAAGTACTGCGTCAAGCTCATCGAAAAGGTTAGAAATGACCTGAACTTCCTTATTTATGATCCTATTTCGTTCAATCTGAAGAACATTAATTTGTACATCTAATTCCTCACGAGTGCCTTTGGCTAATAGATTTTCAATGTAATCCGCTTGCCTTAAGAAAGCCCACCAGCGGCCGAGCGGTAAAGTCGCAGAACACTTGTAGTTCGGTCCGAGGTTCGAATCCCGCGAACGGGTTGGCTGCATGGGCGTTTTCGTGGTTTTCCCCATGTGTAACGTGTATACGAGCCAGTTTCCCTTAGAAAGTCCTCCACGAAGGCATCCCTCCTCTTAGGCAGATGAAAAACGTGTGTGTGTGTGATTATGGCAAAGCCCTCGAGGCTTTGCCATAATCACACACACACACGTTTTTCACAAAAATTTGAATTGAAATAAATTTTATTTCCCTTGCCACAAACTGGAGTAACTAAAACGGCGAAAATTAATATCTGTAGGAGAAGTTCGCTTACGATATATATGAGTACCATCCCCCCCCAATATTCGAAGTTCGCTAGGCCACTGCTGTAACTAGTCTCGCAGCTTTGTAAATGCGTAAAATATATAGCAACGGGAATATTTATGGTGTGCTTCAGGAGATTTTGATTTAACTTTAATTTGATTCTGAAACGGTCATAAAGTTTATGTAGGCTTATTGTCAGATTCCTTAATTTTATCAGGACTGGTTTGGTTACGAAATTCTAGAAGATCGCCGAAGGTGACTTCTAGAATTTTGACATTGCATGATCAGGAAATCTACAAGGCTTTTCACCATCAGCTTCCACGTTAGATATTCTCCTCACGATGAAGACTTCAGGCATTAAAAGAAACACTATCTAAATTGCACAAAAACCTCTTTTCCACCAATTTCGTTCAGGCAGCACCTATCAGGCGAAGCCAGACTTTAGCGTTTTGGCCCCTTAAATATAGCTTGTGTTGTAACAAACAGCAGTTTAATTTAAACTTAAATCGAGGTTTATAATGATAAGTTATTTAATTTTTTTTATATTACATCACGTGTGTGGTAATTTAAACCCAAAGAAGCACAATGAGTTAATCGTGAATAAGGAATAAAAAGCAAATAATCCTGTTTTTGTGACTTCCATAACGATAATGAAAATTCATATGCTCGAAAAATGCTAGACTGTCGGGATAGAAGAAAATACAAACACCTTGACACCATGCTGCATTGATGATGAACCTTAATTAAAAAAAAAAAAAAAAAAAAGTCACGACGAATGTTTACGAACTTTCATAAAAAATAAAAAATAAATAAATAAAAAAAAACTGTGTTTAATATCCAATTCTCTCCTAATTAATAATGTAATTCAATTATTTAAAGCTTAGTTTGATTTCCTTATGTTGTTTTTCACGTTTGTCATTAACAGCTCATTCTCAAGTCTTGTTAGAAATGGTGTTTGTTTAAGTGACGTAAGCCAAGGTGACATTGGGTCAAGGGCCAAATGATGTTAAACATCTTAAACTTTAAAATTTTAATCTTCACAGTGATATACTTGTGGTTATCACTGTGATTACTTGAAGTTTTTTTTATTTTAAGAATTAGATAATGCACTGAAATTTGATGAAACAATCCACTCTTACTATTTTCTTAGAAACACTTTTTTTTTTTTTTTGGCTCAGAAAAAAAAACTTATGTTCATAGTTTTAGAGAAATTTAAATATGTGTTTTCTTTCTTTATTAGATGGGAAGAAAGTCAAGGTTGAAAGCAATGAAAAGGTAATAATTTTTAATACTTCACATAAACAACTTCATGTGTGTATATCTGATAATTATTACAAATATGAGTATTACACTAATGCGTATCTTATTAATGCGAAGTTTATCTAAAAAAGTGGTTACAAATATGAATCTAAAATCAATTAATCATCATAGCATGTACGGAATAGATGAAATCATACGAGAAAGGCTGTTCCTTTCCATTTAATTAGCTTTCTTCCATTTAATTAGCTGTTGAACACGGTTTTATTTTTAAATTATCATATATTATTATTATTATTATATATTATTATTTATTAATAAAGTAGCAATGATACCGCTTCCCGGGATGGTAAAAAACAAATTTGTGTTTCTCTTTCAGCGATCAAGCGGAAGAAGTAGAAGCATTTTTGCGTCTGTTGACAGCCTGTCTCAAATTAATGTTACTTAACAGCTCCATAGGAAATGCACGATAAATGTTTTAGTGTAATTCATAGCCTAAAATTCTTTTAGGTGGCTGAAACGTTTCAGTAGAATGCAAACAAATGTGTGATAGGATTTAGCGTAGAATTTTTCTGAATGGCATAAAATTTATATTTAAATTCGAATTTTTTCCATCTCTTCAAGTATCTTCGCGGTGCACCAGTATTTCACAATAAATCAGTTGGGAAGCATTGGCTTGGGGGCGGTATATAGAATCTAATTTTTTGACACTTTATTTTTAATTGCTTATAAAATTCATTTAATATTTGAAAAATGTATTCTTAATGTTGTAAATCCAAATTGGAGCCCTAAAAGTCCTCTTGGAGTCATTAAAGAGATGCACTCCGAGAGGATAGCTGGGAAACAGGAATCTATAACATGCCCAGGGCCCATGACAACGACAAATGCAATCCTGGACTCCTCGTCATGATAAAATTTCATTGACTTGTTCTGACGCTGTCATCAAACAAGTAAAATAAGTCGCAGCAACAACAGATTGTTGTTACTTTGAGATTTGCATATAATAATTATGAAAGCATGTTTAATGAGTCAAACTTATTAATAAAGTAATTTAATTATATTTAATAGATATTTTATTTGAAATCATTACTAGTGTTAGCGTATGAAATCTTTTGAAATAGTATATTTTAAGGTTCCCCAGCTTTGTAACTTTTGTTGTCCCCTTCCTTTTTCTTTTCTCGTCTGAAAACAAACAGTCTTGACAAATTCATTTCTTTGATAAATTGCTTAGCTTTTCTTAGTAACAATGATTATGCAACATGAACTTGATTACATTTGTAATTGTTCACAATCTGCCATTGGGAAAAAAAAAAAAAAAGATTATGCAACAGACTTACCTTCAGACACCTTTTTACGAATTATGTATACAGTATGCTATCCAGGCAGTCGAGTTTAATTTTTTTAATGCTTATCGAATTTAAGCAGACTCAGATAAGAAATTGTACGGTTTCCTTTGTACTTTTTGCTATGATAATTAGTAAACGAGCTAGCGCCGAAATTTCTCCATTGTAATGCTTCCATTCTGACCTTTTTTGCAGTAGATTATTAGTGTCCAATTTTTGCTGAATCATTAAGTCACAGATTTCTCTTTCGTTCCCTAATCATCAGTGTTTTAAATGAATTAAAGTAAAGAAAGGAAACAGTATAGAAACGCCAAGTTTTAAACATAAGACTAACAGAAAATGGCAAAAAGATGCGAAGTAAGAGCCTTTCCTAATGCTGCCGAACGCTACAGTCTGTAACTTTAACACAGGAACTTCAAGGTTATTTTCCGCCTCCCTGTTTGATTGGTAACCACGGATACAACAGCTGCGGGAAAAAGGCAACTCGCTTAATATTTTCCCCACTTCATTTCTGTTTAGCTTGTTTCATGAAAAGCATTCGAATGAAGGTTGCCTTGAAGTGCACAAATGATGTGGAAAAAACAAATGCTGAGCGGTGATAATCACACGAGTCACGATAGCGAAACGGGGGTAGTAGTGACACTGAAGTGCCCATTTTAAAGTAGCATACGATAATAGTCACTCTTACGGCACAAGCTTTATTATCATTAGGTAAACCGAACTTTTAGTTGCCGTATTATCAGAGTTTTACTGCATGCAAATGAAATCAAAAATTCCCGAGTTTTAAGATTTTTTCCAACACGCTTACGCAGGCTGGTTTATTTTCTCTGTGCTGGGTGGGAAATGTCAAAAGTGGATCCAAAGACTTGATTCAATGGCCCTTTGCATAGGACACAATTAGTCTGAATTTTTATTACATGGTTATGAATTTTTTCTTTCGTCTGCACTTTGTGACGCTTTACAAATGTCATCATGACCTGAAAACCGTAGTTTCACTTCCGTGGGGACTGTAAAAAAGTTACTCTAGAGCAAGTATGGCAAGAGTTTGATGACCGACTTGAGATTTTTCATGTAATCAATGGAAGTCGAGCAAATGACTTGTAAGCAATTCTCCCTTTACCCTTTACCTTTTACTTTCATTTTATGTATTAGCTGCCCTTCTTATTTTTGTAGATTTTTTTAATCAAGTCAATAATTTTATCAAGTCTCCCCCCCCTCCCAGAGAAGTATACTTTTTCGCCTAGCTGAAATGAAGGTGGTAGTAAATTGTTCATAATAAATTATTTATGAAAACATAGTTTTTTAATATAAATTTGTAAGAATAAATTCTTATAGAGAAGTTTTGCAGTAAATATCAATTTTATGAATAAAATTTTGTCAAAATGGTCTCTGAAACGTTTTCAATATACAGGGTGTCCATAATTAAAGAACTCAAAGCTGTCTACAAGCAAAACCACTAATCAGAAAACTGCGAAATTTTGTAGCAGACTTAATAAAGGAATGAGAATGTCTTTTAACAAAAAAACAAAAAAAAAAAAAAAAAAAAAAAAAATAGTAACAAATAGCATTACCTGAGCAGTATATTAATAAATTATACATTTAGCCACACCTTTAAAACAGTTTTACAAATTTACAAATTTTGTTACCAAAAAAAAAAAAATGTTCCACATGATGACAATCATTTTCAACAGCCATCTAAAATCACAAGATGGCGTGTTCCACAGTTGACCGAAGTGTGTGTTGGGAAATGTTCAGCACGTGGCGTGAAATGCTGGCTTTTAGATAAGGTAAAGTTCCTAGATTGTCACGACTTACCAGATGTTTCAAATATCCCCAAAACCAAAAATCGCATGGATTGAGGTCTGAGGATTGGAAAGGCCACACATTACGAAAGTGCCGGCTGTTTTAGTAAAACAATTATACTAACGCGATCTCGTAAACTTTTTATCGTCATTGTAAGCAACAAGCATATTGAAAACAAAGTTTCACGAATGTTTCTAGGTTTTATAACAGCTGCAGCATGAAGTCGACAAAGGTTTACATTTTTGCTACAGGTTTTCAAAGTAAAACTCCCTCCGGTGACGCTATTTATAACTAATTGTTTTTTCTCTAAAAGACATTCTCATCTCTTCATTAAGTCCGCCACATAATTTCACTGTTTTCTGGTCACTGGTTTCGCTTGTAGGCAGCTTTGAAATAGGGCTTTTTAATTATAGACATCCTGTATAACAATGAGTCTGTATTGGATTAGTGACTGTGTTGGAAAACACAAACACTCTGGAGAAGACATTAAGAGATCCGCGTAATCTTTTGAAAAATATTGAAAAATAAACATTAATTTTATGTTTAAGAAAAATTATAGTTTGTGCTAATTCAAATGATTCTTTACAGAGCTTCAAAAAAAGATAAAAGCAAAAATGGTGCTGCCAAGGAAGTAAGTAATAATTTAATACTTTTCGTTAAAGGTTTGTTCATATAGTTAATGCTTTAATCTCTGATTGAGTTTTTAAATCTCATATAAATTTAATTCAAGTGATTAAGACTAATTCATCTCTTTATGCGTACTAATAATTTCTTTACAGAAGGAAACTCTTATTCCTCCTGTGGAGACAATAAATTAAGATTTAATACTACTTATGACAGATTTGTTCATTTACTATCTCTGATTATCTTTAATAGTTTTTAAATATCATAAGTGCCCCCCAGACGGTATAGTGGTTAAGGGATGTACCGAATAGCCCGGGTTTGAATCACGGAGCAGGCATGGATGTTTGTCCGTGCAGCATGGCGTTAATATGCGGCGAGCCGAAAGGCCTCTCGAGAGGTCGTTGGTAGGGGAAAAGGAGTGGGAGACCCTCGGACCCGTCCCCCCGGGGTGCTGTTCATTCAAAATTGGGGGCGGAACTGAACGAAGTCATATATATGGTGCCCAAGGCTCTTACCAACAACAGGCACTATCTTGCACTCCTTGCCACAATGAAGTTCGTGGGCTTGCTGTGAAGTTACTGTCAGACAAGTGAGATAAGTCACAATACTGATTAAGAGTGTTAGTATCGTACCCGCTTCAATAGAGAGTTTATAGAAAAGAAGGGTAAGAACTTCAGAAGAAACTGATCATGTATGAAACATTACTATACGCACGAAAGGTAAATTACTTATGTTTTATAAATTGTACGTGTATATTACAATGAACAGCCTCATGGATACTTTCTTTGGTCAATGTAACCTTAGAGCTGAGTTTTCTGAATAGGAATTAAAACTCAGAATGTGTTTTTTATCGTTATTTGCAAAGCTGAAGTTTTATTAAAATCTTGACTGAAAAAGCAATCGTTTGAAGCGCTCTGTAAGCAAATTCTAAGTTTTATCAACATATTAAACAATAATTTAAAAATCCTTTTACAAACGTGGGATCGGAACAAGTCTTATATAAATGATGCTGACAGTTCTCGATGCATCTTTTCAAACTACGCTTGGAAAAATTAAGGAAGTAATTTGTCTTCTGACCTCAGCATTAAAATTGCAATTTCATTTGTTTCATTTTCGAAGATTTTTATAGAAATTTCCACTAAGTAAATACTTCTGAAGATAATGCCTGAAAGATTGTAAATGACGATCATGTAGAGGATGCGGCACTGTTGATAGCATATTTATAAAATCATACCATAAAGGTGTAACCGTTTTTTTTTTTTTTTTTTTTTTTTTTTTTTTATTCTTAATGTCAAACAGGAGTTACGAAAATGCTATTTATTAATCAAAAGATTGACCAGCTCATAATCTCTCTTAAGTAAAGGCCCCGCTTCGCCTCATGTTCTTTTGAGCGGCGTGAGAAATATCTATTTCTCATCGTAATACATTGCTAAGGATATTGATGATGGTTTGTGTGATTACGGCAAAGTCTCGAGGGCCTAAGGGAAGGGATGCCTTCGTGGAAGACTTTTAAATGGAAACTGGCTCTTATACACGTTACACTTGGGGAAAGCAATGAGAAAAACGCCCATGCAGCCAGCCAATTTGCCGGGGTTCGAACCCCGAACCGAGCTACCAGTGTTTAGCGGCTTTACCGCTCGGCCGCTGTTGGACCTGGATATTGATGATAGCAATTCTCATGTGATCTTTCAATTCCAATAAGGTGTTCAACAAACTGGGAAATTTCTTGCTCTAGGCACCCACGTTAAGAAACTATAGTGTCATTATTTTTTAAATAAGTCTAATACAGAAATTACGATATTCAGCTTTTCAGCTTTCTGTATTGAACTAAAAAAACAAAATGACAGCCTATACTCCCTCCCTCCCCAAAAAAGAGCGCTGCATCATCTGGCGCTCACATGATGTTCATTGTGATCGAGGCATAAGAGGGCTGAATACTGGTAGTTCAACCCTTGTTTAAATCTCGACGAACATGGAATTTTAGCGTCTTTTCCCGTATGTAAGGTAAATATGAGCCAGCTGCCCTCGGGAAGACTGCTCAGAGGCATGCCCTCCGTTAGGAAGTATGCCTTCGCATATTTTGCCGTAATTCAAATAATGCTGGTATATTGTACTATGGGTAAAAGCTAAAAACGCTAGCAATACACTATTATTTACCCTTTTTCTCTAATTTTTTTATTATATATATACCCATTGCTAATTAGCGTATTGATTATCTTCCTCCTAATAATTAAGAACAGTTAAACATTTTCGAGTTAAAATGCAACAGAAATGTATTATGTAGCTTATATGTAGATAAAAATTGCATTCAAAAAATGAAATTTACCTCTGATAACTATCTGAAGTGTAATCACAGTTTTTAGATAACATCGTTTTGCTGGAGACTTGAAAAAGGAATGTTTGCGTGTACGAGTATCATGTAAAACTTAAGTTTTGCTTAGTGAGGATAATGAATCCCATGAAGTTTGAATTTGCCGTAGTTACAGATAAAATATGATTACTGATTCTAGTTTTGATGAATTGGGCAATAAAAAGTTATATGTTAATTAATTTTTACATTATTAATATAATATTGATAATCAATTATCATATCTGAGTTATCATTCTGAAGATAACTCAGTGAGGTATTGATGGTAATTTCCTGAAGGGCTATGGTACCTCTGAATTATCACACCCGTTCTCACAAAAAGTCAGATCACATGCAGTGATTATTATTTAATATGTGATATTTGCCTCTTCATTACCTGTAACTGAAAAACTACCATTCACGTTTACCTTTTTTTGCACTAGAGAAATGAAAAACGCTGATCTGCCTATTCTGTCTTCAGCTTTTAACAAATTAAGAACCCCGATTCCCCTCTACCGTCAACCGTGTGTTAAGATTTAATACCTTTGATATCTTCTTTAACTCTTGTGTGTCAGGATTAATGTTTGAGTCCATAAGTATCTGAATGAATGAAACATCTGACTCACTGTTGGATTTTATTTACAATGAGAGGGTAAATAGCTGCCTGGGTATTTTTATTTCCTAGATACTTATTGTAAGCATTTCTGTTATAGTCTCATAGGAAAATCCTCCACAGATGCCTGCCATCCAAGGCAGATATCCCTGATATGATTTCTTATAATTATTTATCTACCTTACCTTATGACTTTCTCCTGAGAAAGCTATACCTTTGAATTTTTCAGATGCGGGACGCATCCACACAGACACCCGAAGAGACACAACTAGTTTTAGTTCCCAGTAAGTATTATAATTATTATTTTTAATTTTGATTTTTGCATATTAGGTATTTGCTCATAATTACTTTTGCTGACTCAGTAAGTCTTGAACTAAATTGAAAAAAAATCTAAGATGATCGTATGTGGGTTTGTGGCCGTAGGCTATATATTTGAAATTAATTCTCCTGATTATAATGTTACTAGCGACTTAGGCAACTGAAAGGGATTAAAAATCAAAGCAACACGAAAAAATTTAACATTGAAAGAAGACATCTTTTTATCAATCAGAATTGGATAAAGTAAAATAAGTTCAACAGTCAGAACGGAATATTAACTAAAAAGAATTAAAGTAAAGCAAGAAACGATAGATAAAAAAGTAAATGTTAGCTCAAAAAAATCAGTCCAGCAATGTTAACAGTCCAAACGTGAGAGAGCAAGTAACAAGGGATATGAATAAATTAACCGAAAAGTAATAACCTAAATTAAATGAGGATTCATTAAAAGAAGAAATAGATATTTAAACAGCGGAAAATTAGGAATCTGCTTTGAAGATTTTCGTCAAAACTAAAATATATAATATAATGGCTAACAATCGAATTACAGTCTGTAACCTACGAAGCTCTCGGAAACTGACTTTGCGATAACGGCTGAAATCATGTGAGCTTACTACCCTATTGAAATTGGAAAGCACGTTCGGCTAGTTAATGGGAAGCTTCGGGATTCGAATCTCTGGGAAGGCATAGTGGATTGTCTCTCCTTTTCCGCTGCAGAAATACTAGAATGACAATGACGGCACAAAAATCACATGATCTCTGTCGTCTGGTGCTACTTTTCGTATCTCTAAATTCTTCTCTTGTTAATTTAGTTTAAAAATTTCTGGCAACAGTGCGTCAGGGTAAGTATTTTGCTGCTCGCTGTAATTTCTGCAGTTACTAAATTATACTGCGCGGCACGTTCTTAAATTCCAAAAATTTTGCCTCTCCTGAATTCTTTTGCCCAGTACCTACCCTAAATTCTAAATTTTTTTCATCTCTAAATTTTGCTAATTTGTGCTTCTCTAAAATTTTTGCCACCCCTAAATTCTGCCGCCTGGTGCTATCGCCCCTGCTTCACCGTCTCTGGCTTCCCGTTTACGCGGTTCCTTGTTTGCGTAATTATCAAATTATATCCTGTTTACTGTATTTATCAATTTTTATTCTTTCCTTGACCGTACTGTTTTTCTCTTTTCAGATAACAATAGGAGAAGTAACGCAGTTTCTCTTTTACAGGTTTAGAAGTGGTAGTAAAAAATGCTGATATATATATATATAATTTATCAGGCAAAGCAGTAATAACAATTTTTAAGGCGAGCTTACTACAATTTATATATATATATATATATATATATATTATGAAGCTTGTATTATCTTGGTGACTTGCATGACATCCTTTTTCCTGTTTCACCTGTTTTCTTTTTGAAACAATTTAATTATTTTTATAATTTTTCTTCCCATTTATGTCGATTGTAATAGATATTAACAAACGCCTCCTTACAATTCGGAAAAAACAAAATTCCTGCCTTATTATATTGATTTCTTCTCCCTCTCTTTTCAATACCGTTTCCGCTCCCTTCTTTTGCCTTGTAATTTTAGATTATAACGATCGACAAAAAATCGCGCCATACCCTGAATTTTCATATAGAGCATACTTTTAAGCAGCAAATTAAATAAAAGATTATATTAATGAATGTGTAAGGTTTATCCTAAGTTTTTAACAGTTATCTTTAGTTAAAGGTACTATCCTGTCCCTCCTAATTTCAGCTTACAATTTCCTACCAGAATGTGTTTTTAGAATCGCTTTTAATGCAAATGAGAAAGAGCGGTATTTAAATCGAAGTTCCGCTGACTTCGTTAGACAGTCAGAATTTGTGACTAGCGCAGGCCATTTGATAGCTTCGCCAGCTTAGTTGATAATTTAGGGGCCAACTACATAGAAATCTTTATTGCGTCTGCTATATCTTTTTAGTTAAGCATCAATTAAGTTTATTTCTCAGTACTTTGAGTTCAAGCAAAAGTGGAGGCTTTGCTGTACGCCCTGAAGGAGCCATCTGTTAAGTTCGTATTTTGAGAAATAAAGGATAATTAACCCTTCTTGAAATTTACATTTCTGTTTTCTGAGGTAAGCAATTATTCGCTTACCTTACACGAGGTTCCTACGCAGTTAGCTGTTAGATAAATGGTTGGAACTCCACAAATGGAAGCGTATATACGTATATTATATGTATGTATTTTCGGAAGTTGGTTATACTATATGCATATTAACATAGTCAAGTTTTGGCCAAAATATAAAATAATGAATACACTTTGAAAAAGTTTTAATTCGGCAGTTATATGATTTGAAGATGAGATCTTTAAGTTTAATTAGCGCTTTATATCGGAGAGTGGCAATTCGATTTAGCTTAGTTTATGCAGATGCATTGCAGTATATTTCCACGTCTTATGAGTTAATAAATTAATTATTGATTCTTCTTAGTGCTTATAAAAGTCGATTCTGGTATATAGTTGATGTTGATATTGGAGGAATTAATGGAATGTCTTTAAGTCTCACTTATAAATGTTCCAAATACTGTTGGTGTTTATACATGGTATTAATTCACGTAAGGTATATTTTATAAATGACTCCAGCAACCAATTCGAGTTATTTGCAGGAAGTATTTTTTAGTATTTATTTTGTTATGGTATTTAATTTGTTTAATAAAATTTCGAGAAAGATGTACTTAGAAGAAGGAAATTTTTCTTCGTATTTCTAAATAGAAAGCTGATAAATCACGCTTTTGCTTAGACTACAGTATCAAAGTGCAGTCAACGGATTACACGCTGCTCAGTATACAGTCTCTCTAGCGGGGTAGAAAAAAGAAAAAGAAAAAAGAAAGAAAAGAAAAAATCCTCCATAGTTTTTTTTTTTTTTTTTTTTTTTTTTTTTTTTTTTATGTGTTGGTGGAATTGTAGAAACAAGCTGAGAAATCGCCGTTATTTTTTTTATGGCATTCATATCAACTTTTGAACTATGGTTCATAAGTTCCTGCTCAGTAATAGGAAATATCCATAGTAAACTGCGCTTACATTTTGTTCTTTCATTGATTTTCATTTGATTTATGTTATTTTTTTTCTGTATGTAAAATCAGCAGACTGATTAATGTCTTGAAATCGCGCTTGTTGCATTAGCAGTGGATTTAAATTTTATTGCTTTAACTACCGTACCTTTTAAAGTTTCATAGATATTCTCATTTGCTCCTGTGTCTGAAGATTATTCCTTGATATCTCGTGTACGAAAAGCTGTAAATTTATTCTCTTATTAGAGTATGGTTTTATTTCACACAGAGGTGATGGAGTCTTACAGAAGGCTGCCAGGAAGGGTGAAAAATTAAATGAAGCAGTGACAGATAATGAACAATTAAAATTAAATAAAACACAAGCCGATAAAGTTTGATGGATAATGGGAAAGCACGCTGGAGCTATCTGCGTAAGGGGCGAGTGGCCTTCATGGAGAATTTCCTAAGGGAAACTGGCTCGTATACACGTTACATATGCGGAAAACCAAAAAAATGCTAATGCAGTCACCCTGTTTCTCTGGAATCGAACTCAAGTCAGAACTACCAGTGTTCAGAGATCTTACCGCTCGCCCGCTAGTGAACCTAAGAGCTGATAAGAATATTAATAAAATTGATTCATTGTAATAAATGAATATTAATAAATTGAAGTATCATACAAATTAATGAAAACAAGCAAACTGAAGTAAATTAAAATGAATTCATCAAAATTAAATGAAATAATAAAACAAATAGAAAATGAGTAAATTAATAGTAATTGTACATGATTCAGTGGCTAAAACAAGCCGATGAATATTTCGATCTGTTTCGTTTGCACTCACGTAAAAATTGCCTCTTTATTTTATTATTTTTATTTATTTTGTCTTCTAATCCATTTAAAGATATTTTGACCAGATATTATAAGTAGCGTCCGTAAACATGCCTCTCCGTCAGTGGAGTAGCGAGCATAACTGGCGCCCGGGGCAAAATACCTTTCTGGCGCCCCTCTCCCTCCGAAAAGAAACACAGTGATAAATCTTGTTTGGAGACCATTTGGCGCCCCTCTGCGAGCGGCGCCTGGGGCATCATGCGCACCCTTGCCTCCCCTTCGCTACGCCACTGCTCTTCGTAATGTGCTCGGGTTTTGACATGGGAGATTTTTATCTTTCAGCTGCTCAAGTTTTCCCTATAATTTGCTTTTGAGTGGGGAAAACAAAATGTATATTTTCAGTATCTAGTATCAATATAAGTTTTACTAATTGATAAATAAAATAGTGTACTGATAACCGAATTTTCTGTTAATATTGCGGTTCAGATGTAAAACAAAAAAACAAGCAACAAAATTCCAAGAATGGCACTACAGAAATGTATAGTGACTACAGAAATTGTAAAAACGTAATAATATTTAATGAGAAGTATTCAGACATGCTGCATTCAACAGCGTGCTCAGGTTGGTGGACCATCCTGCTCCGCCATCTGGCGGATAGTCAGAAAGTTAAAAGCTTACTCCTGACTATCTATTATTGCACCACCAAATATTATAAATCTAAATAAGAAATTTCCAACAACTTTTAAAAATATCATCTATAATGAAAATATAAGCACTATTAATTAATTATTTTCCGTTATTATTTGGAAAAGATCAAAATTGATTATATTTTAAATGGTCAAATAATAAAAAACTTGAAATTATGACTCATTTCTGTCAGAAGAAATTAAATCTTTAGAAATGAATTTGAACTTTAGATCTGCAGAAGCTGCTCATATTAATTATTAGCGAAACGTTTGAATCGTCTAATGGTCCAAATGAGAGCTTCTAAAACGTATCCTTCGATGGAAATAGTGCAGTTTTGACACTGGCACATTGTGGAAAATTAGTTAATTATATATTTCAAAGCCTTCGTAGTGCAGTTTTCTTGCTTCTTTAGTATAAATTTCGGGAATTGTAATGGTTT